TCCTCTTCTCCCTTTTTTTTTCTTTTTTTTTTTTTTTTCTCTTATTCTATCCGTTCACGCTATTCTGATCCTCTCTCTTTGCCTTTCAGGAAATCCGTCCACAGGAGTACTACTTATTGGTTTCCAATCAACAATATCCTGCTCCTTTTACTTTGCATTACTCACTCCCACTCATTGCGGTTTCTTCTCTGTTTACAAATGTTGGAACTTTAACGTTGGCCACCAGGCCTCGTCTTAATTCTTTCCTACTGTGAATGTTCTTTGCATATTGTATGTATGCCATGTAACTTTAAACCCCAATAAAAAGTTTGAACAAGAAAATATTTCCATATACAAATCACCTCTGAGTGATTACCATTGAATTGTTACTGCAGTGCTGCTGAATATGGCAAAATAACTAGGATTTTTGGGTGGAGTTGGAAAATGTTACAGCAAACGCCTCTGAACTGCATTTCCCACCCAGCTTGCTTGTGCGTCAAGTGTATTTTAAAACAGTACTTTGTAACATTAGGCAACATTTATATATTGATATTAGAATGGATAATGTCAGTAAGTATACTAAGCTAGAGTTAAATAAAACTTAATTACTAACACACCTGGAAAATGTAAGAAACAAGTTTACCTTCCAAAGTAAGGATTGAGAACAGGATGTCTGAAGAGTGATGTCCAGGACATAGGGCTGAGTGCGCCTAGGTTTGCTGTGCTGGATGGAGGGGAGACCGACGGTGCTGACACTGTTGAAAGTGGTAGTGTCCTCCAAAGAGGGTCAATAAGAGGACTGGGGGTCAAAGGAAAATCAAGATACAGCCCCATAGGGTGTCTGACATGGAATGCAGGGTTAGCACCAAACAGTTCTGTTTTCTCACGTTTTCTCCACTTTGCTCTTCGATTTTGAAACCAAACCTATACCAATAAATGAGAAATTATTATTTATTATTTATTATTTAGTTATTACTAAATTAAATATTAAAAAATATTTAATTTAGTAATAACTGTACATAGAAATTATAGTGCCTTGTCCAAAATGTGATTGTTTCTACATTCTTAATAATATATGCCAACATATATACATATTGGGGTTGATTTACTAAAGAAAAATAGGTTGTGCACTGCAAGTGCAGTTGCTCTAGATCTGAGGGGAACATGCAAGGAATATAAGAAGACAGCATTTTTACTTGCACATGATTGAAAGAAAGAAATCAGCAAAGCTTCACCTCATTTCAGAGCTTCCCCTCAGATCTAAAGCAACTGCACTTGCAGTGCACTTGGAGTGCAAAGTATAGTTACCTTTAGTAAATCAACCCCATTGAAATATAGCAGTGTAAAAATCATGACCATGGCAGGAAGAAGGGAAATAACTACTGGCTGGAAAGGATACTTTGATTTCATGCTAAATAGCTTAAGTATTGCAGTAATAGATATAATACCATAAAGGAGAGGGATAGCAATAAACATTGTGCTTTGTTTCTCAGCTGATAAAGAAGCTTGCTGACATGCCCCAGGTGGTGGGTCCTTGATTCTCTGGGCTCACAGGAAGTGGGTTGAATTATTCTAAGGCCCCTTTCAGATGGGGCAGACCCGTCAGTGGATCTGCCTGCTCAGCGGGGGATCTCTCTGCTGCAGAGCAGACACAGACACATCCCGCTGTCTTCTATGGGGCGGTTGGATGGAAACGGACCAGATGGATGAGGAATGGATCTCCATCTGTCTGTTTTTGGCATACAGGATCGGATCGCATGCCAGCGGGTGTCAGCAGACACTTGTCTGCTGACACCTGCTCTTCCATAGAGGTCTATAGATGGTCTGATCGGGTCCACCTGAAAAACTGACAGGCGAACCTGATTGGACCATCAGTGTGAAAGGGGCCTAAGAGTCACTCAACCCTGACAAAGACTGGCAGCGCTGGTCAGAGCTGTGAGTCTGTGGGGGGATAGCTGTGTTTTTTTACTGCTATTACTGCTAAGACCTGCTTTAGTCTTCTGTACCTCCATTTAGTTTGTTTGAACCAGTGCAATGCTAGCAGACTGGTTAAGTGTGATGAGCTCTGCTGCTATTTGTTATACAGTATGTAATCAGAAAATCACTCCCAAAGTCCTGTACATTTTTAGAAACATCCATTCTGTACATTGGTTAGGCAATTATTTAAAACTGTGAGAAGGAATTAAGAAATAATGACCAAAGAACCAATGAACCAACGAACTAATGAGCCAAAGAAACAATGCAAACATGAGTAAAGGAATAAGGTTAAAAACAACCAAACAATGACTTGTGAAACAAAGTAACTAGGAAAGGAATAATAAAATAAAGGCTGAGGACTGGATCACTAAATATCTACATGTATGACATGAATGTGCAAAGTACAGTAACTGAAAGTGATCAAACAAAAATAATCTTTCATTGATCTTAAAAAAGTAAAATTTGTTTGGTTGATGGATTACTGCACATTTCCCATATTGCTTGTTGCTCATCGCTTCTGATTCTCATTGCCTTAATAAATACACCTCTATATGCCAAAACTGTGAATTGCACAGACCTGCACTCTTGCTTCAGTTAGGTCCAGCCGCATTGCAAGGTCCTCTCTACAGAAAGAAATAATAAGAATGAGCATTAAAATGTGCTATGTTCATTAAACGAATCTGGTTCTGTAGAAAATATACTTATTCAAAAGTAAAATATGTTGAGGACTTACAACAGATTCACTTTACTTTGGTAACTCAGATCCATGTGAATACCATTGGAAGATTCATGTTATTTCTGATTCACATATGATTTATTCAAGGTGAAGTGCAACATGTAAAGAAGCATTAATAATTAATTCAGTGATTTGATACACGATTGTTTGTGATGGGTTGCTGCACTTTGTGTATCACATTGCTTTTTCTATGATTTTATTAAACAAACTGTTTGTGTGGCTATCTTACCAACACAATACAGATTGCCAGCATGACTGGGTTTTATATGTGTCGACAATAACAATTAGGTAACCAATAGAAAATAAAAAATGATGTTCATATTATATATCATATCATATCAAATTATTTATCATATCAGCTAATATACTTTTTACTATATAGTATAGATTGCTGAGTCCCTTGAGTCAAATGACTATCAAAATAATATCCAGTGAAATGGCCACTAAACATGACCTGCCTACATTTTATAGACGATTTTTTATAAACCGTTTTTAGTATCATTTGTGGATGAATGCTATATAACATTAAAGTGCATCAAAAGCCCAAATGTTGGAAACTCTGTCAGGCTTTATTGCTGTCTGTGTCATGTGCCCATTTCTCACTGTGACCATGGAAGCAAGGGAAAACCCCAAATTGGGATAGCCACCAAAAATCTTCCATTGGTGACACTTTTTGCAGTGTCACCTGTCTAGGAGGGGATGTCCTTGCCTTGGAGAGATTTCCTCTCACTTCCTGTTAGGAAAGGAAGTAAAGAGTAATTTCCACAATGAGACACAGAGTGCAACAAAAGGATTTTCTATACATTCCCTTCTCCAAAATAAATAAAAACATGTGTGCTTTAGACACATTAAAGCGGAACCTTACCATGAATGAATTCCCTTCTCCCCCCTTCATCTGTGCCACCATTTAAAAAAAAAAAAAAAAGCATTATTAAAATTTAGTCCCCATCATCCAGCGCTATATAGCATATAGTTGCTATATTGCTCTGGATGATGTAGTAAGAAAAGAGAGACAGCAGTGCCACTCTAAGTATAGATGGTTAAAATCAAGCAGATTTAATGGTAAAATTGCACTCACATAGATAGGTAACAGGTAGGCATGTCAAGTGATGGAGGTCCAGTGGGAGCATCAGGTCCTTTGGCCGTGCTCTGGGTGTTTTCCCACTGGTGTCCAGGGCTCAGCGAGTAGCAGAGAGGGGCAGGGAGGCTCACAGGGATAATTTCACCGCATGGACCAGATTTCCAAGATGGCGTGCAATCGGAGCATGCTCACTCCTTTATCAGCTGATGATCCCACTGGACCTCCATCACTTGACATGCCTGCCTGTTACCTATTCATGTGAGTGCAATTTTACCATTAAATCTGCCTGATGTCTCTCTTCTCTACCTGCATTAGGAGTATCTACAAGCTCTTACAGCCAGCTGCCTCCTCAGACAAGTCCATACTACTACTACAAGCCCTAACACTAAATGGACTTGGACACCACCTCCATATGGACCTTCCAGTTGGCTCTGAGGAAGAGGCTGACCTCGAAAAGCAAGTTGGTCATCCAGGGTTTCCATTGTTGTTGACTCAGATGCTATATGGATTGAACATCGCTGTTCATTGTGATGTGCCTGTGTTTTTATATGTCTATTGTGGTATGATACCTACCATATTTTTCGCTCCATAAGACGCACTTTTTCCCCCCAAAAAAGGGGGTAAAATGTCAGTGCGTCTTATGGAGCAAATATGGAGCGGCCGGTCCGGTATTTCCACCGCCGCCGTGTCAGAATACAGGGACGGCTGCTCAGCTCTGCAGTGGGACCTTACCTGTTCCTCTATCCAGCGCCGCGCTGATCTGTCTTCCCGGCTTCTGTAGTGTGGGCGCTCAGCTTGACAGCCGGGTGCCCAGTGTACATGCACGAGAAGCGGTGCGCTTTGTGAATGGTAAGGCGGCACCTGGGACACATGACAGGTCCCAGAAGCCGCCGGACCAATCACAAAGCGCAGCGCTTCTCGCTCATGCGCACTGGGCACCCGGCTGTCAAGCTGAACGCCCATACCACAGAAGCCGGGAAGACAGCGCGGCGCTGGATAGAGGAACAGAAAAGGTCCCACTGCAGAGCGGACACTAACCAAAGAACAACTCCGCAGAAGTAAGAGCGGGTACCTGTCAAAATCAGTACCCGCCCCCTCCCTCCCCAAAGGTCAGCAGTCATCGCCTGTACTGTCCGCAGTCTCTGGTCATCTCCTGTACTGTCCGCAGTCTCTGGTCATCTCCTGTACTGTCCGCAGTCTCTGGTCATCTCCTGTACTGTCTGCAGTCTCTGATCATCTCCTGTACTATGTCCGCAGTCTCTGGTCATCTCCTGTACTGTGTCCACAGTCTCTGACCATCTCCTGTACTATGTCTGCAGTCTCTGATCATCTCCTGTACTATGTCCTCAGTCTCTGGTCATCTCCTGTACTGTGTCCGCAGTCTGACCATCTCCTGCACTATGTCCGCAGTCTCTGATCATCTCCTGTACTATGTTCGCATTCTCTGGTCATCTCCTGTACTGTGTCCGCAGTCTGTCCATCTCCTGTACTATGTCCGCAGTCTCTGATCATCTCCTGTATTATGTCCGCATTCTCTGGTCATCTCCTGTACTGTGTCAACAGTCTGACCATCTCCTGTACTATGTCCGCATTCTCTGGTCATTCCTGTACTGTGTCCACAGTCTGACCATCTCCTGTACTATGTCCGCAGTCTCTGATCATCTCCTGTACCGCGTCCGCAGTCTCTGGTCATCTCCTGTAGTACGACCGCAGTCTCTGGTCATCTCCTGTACTATGTCCGCAGTCTCTGATCATCTCCTGTACTATGTCCGCATTCTCTGATCATCTCCTGTACTATGTCCGCATTCTCTGGTCATCTCCTGTACTGTGTCCGCAGTCTGACCATCTCCTGTACTGTGTCTGCAGTCTGACCATCTCCTGTACTATGTCCGCAGTCTCTGATCATCTCCTGTACTATGTCTGCAGTCTCTGGTCATCTCCTGTACCGTGTCCGCAGTCTCTGGTCATCTCCTGTAGTGTGTCCGCAGTCTCTGGTCATCTCCTGTACTATGTCCGCATTCTCTGGTCATCTCCTGTACTGTGTCCGCAGTCTGACCATCTCCTGTACTGTGTCTGCAGTCTGACCATCTCCTGTACTATGTCCGCAGTCTCTGATCATCTCCTGTACTATGTCTGCAGTCTCTGATCATCTCCTGTACCGTGTCCGCAGTCTCTGGTCATCTTCTGTACTGTGTCCGCAGTCTCTGGTCATCTCCTGTACTATGTCCGCAGTCTCTGGCCATCTCCTGTACTATGTCTGCAGTCCATTGGTTTAGAATATTTTTTCCCGTTTTCTGCCTTTAAAACCTAGGTGCGTCTTATGGTCAGGTGCGTCTTATGGAGCGAAAAATACGGTACTTTTTATTCTTTCATGAAATATTGTTTACGATAATGCACTAGGCCGGTGCGCCCTCTTTTTGTTTTTCTTTCGCATTCAGTGGAAAATTTTCCCCTCTATTACATTTCTGGGGATAACCCAAAATTTGGGGTTTTCTTTACTTCCACTTTCAGTGATAATGATAAAGAGGATAAATAGAGAAGGTAAATGTCCCTAATGGGGCACAGACCTCTATATAAACCTGTGTTTTAATTCATCTCCACTCTGTCCAAAACGAGAAAAAAAGTTTTGCTTTAGTTATACTTTAAGTTGATAGAAGAAAGGCCACATAGAATTTGATACCACTGTCAAATATCTCAGTTTCTGTGCAGGAGTGTAGGTTCTAGGTAGCTATCTCATCCTGGTATACACTTACTGGCGTATTCAGTGAAGCAATGCAGAGAGTAATGGGAATGTGCACAGTGCAGTAACCCGAAACAACCAGCCATAAATCATCACAATTCATGTGACTAAAATAAATACAATCTGATTGCTGTGGGTTACTGCAGTGCACACCTCGATTGCTCTTTGCACTTCCTAAACGAACAAGCCACAAACTGTCATCTGCGACAATAGCACAACTATATAGCATGTAATAGTATTGTTATATCATTGAGAAGAAAGCTCTGATGCTGATTTCATATAATGAGCTGTGCTCATGAGTCTATGTACTGTTTTTATTTGACAACAATCTGTAATGCGACAGTTGCATTATATTTTCATCCCATTTACAGCACAGAGTAATGCAAGCCATTTGTACTCTCTGATTATTCTACATACTACTGGAGGTATCTTAAGATAACCTTGTAGTGAATATATTATAACTAAAGATTTTGTTTGCATAATGATGTCTCATTTAGCATTTTAAAATCATTAGTAATTTCCTAAGGGCCATATTCATAAAAGCATTAGGCTAAGTACCATGCATGTAAATTAAGTTAAATGTCTGGTAAAGCTTGACATCTAATAATGATCTCAAAGTTCAAAACCAATGCTTTGAATATTATTATTTTATAAATCTTTCATTGTGTTTGTGGAATGTGTAGCTCCAAGTTATGGATAACATGATGTCAAGGTACTTAGCAATCCTTCTGGATATGGTTGTCACAGTAAACATTTGTTAGCCACATGTATTTGCCATTTGCTGATTTCATTGATGCATAAACAGTGTTTAATGGATAACATCCTTGTAATGCCAAAAGCGAGAACTAGGCTTGAAAACAATAGCCCTTTCCCAGGTTGTAGATTTTCAAAGCGGGGAACCCTGGCACAAACCTGGATCTATCAGGATGGCATTTTTCATTTCTATCCAAGATAGCCAATTAATGGCTGTGATGTCAATACATTTTCGGACATTATTTTGAAGATCCATGATGTGCTGGCAATATATGCTTTTTTGTGCTGCCGATATATATTATTTGACTTGTGCTGACACCAGTTCCCAGACAGTGGTTGCTATAGTATCCACTTGCTTCAAGCCATTTCCAAGAATGTGTGCGATAGGAATAGTCAACTAACATTTTCTCCCTGTGCCTGCGTGGGTTTTCTCCGAGTATTCCGGTTTCCTCCCACACTCCAAGGACATGCCGGTAGGTTAATTGGCTGTCTAAATTGGCCCTAGTATGTGTATGTATGAATGTGAGTTAGGGACCTTGGGTTGTAAGCTCCTTGAGGACAGGGAATGATGTGATGTACAATATACTGTATATGTAAATGCTGCATAAATCATTGGCACTAAATAAATACCTGTAATAATAATAATAATAATAAATAATAATAAAAAAATTAGACATGATTGATAAATGTGTATGTAAACAGAAGCTGCACCACACAAGTTAGGTATTGCAGTGAATGTGGGCATGAAAGCAATATTTCTAGTACTGTCATTCACGGTTAACTCTAAATTGTAAACCTGTAAAGCCTTTTAAAGCATCACTTATGTACAATTTTGGGTATCATAGTTTTTTGCCATTTCACAGGCACTTGGAAATTTTAAGACTTGATGTGGTTGATATCTATTTACTCTACACAGGTCTGTCTAAAAATATATTACCTTGTACTTTATGGTGCTTGTATGCTCTAAAATAAATTTGGCATAAAAATTGCCACACTTTTATTCTACAGGGCCTCTACTTTCATATAATTGTTTGTGGGTTTTAAGTTATTTTGTAGAAAAAAATGCATATGCATGTAAAAAATTAAAATGTGTGTAAAAATAAAAAAAATGCCCTGGGTGCAAAGTGGTTAAAATCAATTAAACTCATCTAAATATATACCAGGTACACAGTGTTCAAAGTCCTACATTTTTTTTCTTTAGAAAGCAGCCACAGCCAGAGAAGAAAACACTGTGACCTGCCAGCATGCTGCAGAGTAGGACCCTTACTCTTTTTGCAGAGGTCCAATACCCTCCTGCTTAGTCAGACTTGCAATCAGCAATGTTCATACTCCCTGCTGATTAAAGAAACATAACTCTCATGCAGGGGATGTGTTTGCAGAGAGACCACTGTTTCCACACAGAGAACAAGGGACTTTTTCTATAACATGCTGGCAAAGGACAGACTTTTCTACTCAGGCTTCAGTAGCTGTCCAAAGAACAGAAACTGTAAGACTTTGAACAACTTTGCAGTTAAAATGAAAACAAAATGAAAAGTAGAACACATATTACAGCTTTGACTCCTCATAAGGAGCTGCTCTAGCATTTGCTGACTTTCTTTGGTTGAATAGGTTCCCGTATCATTTGCTGTTTTCTTCTGGTTGAATAGAGAGACCAGCCAATATCTATTTTGAGAAGTTATTTGAATCTTGTTATATCATACCATACCATACCATACCATACCAGGTAAAGGCTGATGTTTAAAAACTTTAAGCTTTTCAACAGCTGAAGAACTTTAGGTTGCCTAAGCTTGACCTATAATCCTAACAACAGTTTTTGAAGCAATAAACAGTGAACGCTACCTGGTAAACACATCTGGGTAATGGGACTTCATGAAGGCCCTCTCCAGCTCTTCTAGCTGATAGTTACTGAAGGTAGTGCGGTAGCGGCGCTGCTTCCTTTTTTCTGTGGGCAACAGACAGTTCAACCTCTGTGTTCTGCTGTTTTTCAGCTTGCTCTTTCCTATCAATGACTTTACTATTTTCTGGCTCATCTGTGGTCATGTTGCCTCCATTGGCCACTTCGGTTAATGTTCTTTCCTTTTCCTTGATTTTGACATGGGAACCAAAGTTGTATACGATCTTCACAGGAGAGAATGCAATCTCTTTTTTACCTAAACAAAAATCACAGTTTGTGATTAATTATCTCTTCATTCCAAAATATCCTCCTTTTCTAATGGTAATTATATTTTTTCCATTCCATGATTTTATAAAAAAAAACAAATTGACTGGAATTAGGTGGAGCTCCTGCTTCAGGTACCAACATTGTGAACAAAGCTTTGTTTACATCTACTGTATGAAAACAAATATCCTCAAATATTAAATTATGGATTTGGTGGCGGAGCATATTCTCCTTAATTATTGAGTTATTTACTAAAGATTAATTTCTATTTCTATTATTATTACAATTTTTTCATATGTACATATTTTTCCCGCATAACCTGGATAAACATTGTTTGTTCTAGCAGCAACAATTGCAAGGTGAAGAGGCCAGCTGTGCAAGATTTTTCTATCTATACTGACCTATAGTATTACACCAAAATATTATTAGAGTGGTATACTGTATGCCCACATCTTATGTCTAAAGCTGCTGTCTCTTCCAGTTAATTTGATATATATATAGGTAGATTACAAAATAAATAATATAATAAAAAAACACAATAAAATAGTAATAAATAGCATTTAAAACGCAAAAAAAAAAATAATGAATATATATTTTTTAAAATCTATATTATATATATAAAATACAGTGTTGATAATTGCATTTGATGATACACAGTAACACCAATCAAATTCGTAGTTTGATGTTTATTTGTAAGCTATTATAATACCTCTAATCCTTATTAAGCAAAATATATGTACTAAAGTATGCTACCACTTTATTTTTGTTTAAAAATATATAAATATATAAAAATATATAAAAGTTTCAATCTCCTAGATATCTGCAATATTACTACATTTTTTTAAGCCTTTACTGGAAAACTATACCACCTTTAGTCTTAAAAATGTTTTTACATCTTTACAGTCTGTTGTGCGTGTTTCCATACTTTACATAAAAAAAAAAAATTATATATATATATATATATATATATATATAAACTTTGATGCCCCATGGTCTTGTATATAATATGATGGATAGGAATAACCAGACATCCTATGTCTGCATGCTTCTATGCCACATGACAAGTACTCACCAGCATTTAGTGGCTTTATTGAGTGGTCCTCTGGGGGTCTCTTCTTGTCTCCTGAACTTTGGGGTACTCCTAGAATGCTTTCAATGAAGTATGGGGTTAGCAGCTGGGCAGGGGGC